AACAGACTCGAGCCAAACCCATGGAACGCGGCCAGACTCCAAAGATTCTACGCCTAGCGCCGAACTCAGTGTTCGTCTCCTTACCCCCTCCTTTTTAAATTATGCTCCCTCCCTCTTCCTTTATCGATCTTTTTCCTTTCTCACACAGTATTTAATACAGTACGGACTTCCGGACTACTCCGGCCGCACTATGTGTGTAAGCTCTACCTGGGGGCTGCCTATACGGAAGCTAAATATAAATTACTCTCAGGGCTTTTTGCCCATCACACATGAGTTTCTTTTTCCATGTGTGCCTTTTCTTCACCATTATATGCATCGATATGACCTAAGACGTGGCCAAGCTGGGTTGCCTGGCTCCTGTGTTTATGCCCTACGTTCCTGTTAATTCGGCTAGGGCATAAGGGGAGCACCTCTGCGATTGTTACTGCCGATTGAGCCGGATGTGTACCTCAGACTGGGAAAAGCCAAAAGCTAGTTTCCTTAAGAGAATATTCGGTCAGTGAACAAAAGATGTCTTTGTTTATCATAACATTAATCCCCAGAAGTTTTGTATCCTGCGCTATGGTTCGTAGTCCGGACATGTGCCTTGACACATGCTTACCCAGGGAAAGGAACCCTTAACGGAACTATTCTCCTTGGAAGATGTTTCTTACTATCCATGTAATATAACATAACTAGTTGGGTACTTGTCTGTTCAAGCACTTATGACCCCTACGCCTGGTTTCCACGCATACTCCGGTTTTGTATAACCGAGCGGGTATTCAGACACACCCCGGACTGTAGGATCCGGGGGCTGAAGTGAAAAGGTCCGCCATGACAAATGATTTTAATCCGGCTAGGGGCTACTTATGTCCATTGAATTACACAGTCACTTGGACTGACTATATTCCTCCTCTATACCATCCAACAGGCTATCTAGCTTACAATCTTGTTGAGAATACTTCGCGGCTAACGCAACCTGGTCATATACCAGACTCACGGGAATTTCTTGCCCATCTGGCCCCGTCGGTCCAACTTCTGCCATATGGTTCGGGTCCAGCTTGGTGTAGCGCGTCTTCACCATAGCCCATGCTTCCCTTGCACCCTGCCGGCAGGCTGACATCTTCCACAGTCGGAAGCACCACCGTGCCCCTTGAAGCATGTCCACAAGATCTCCCATGCCATTTGGCAGGAGGCTTGACAGCCACAAGGCCTGCGCTACGCCCTGCATCGCCTGCCGAGCTTGCTCGTGCAGCTGTGAGAGGTCTTTTAGTAAATCTCCTGCAGATGCAGGCATCTCCTCCTCAGGGCGACCCGTCAGCATGCCTACAAGCAAAACTCTTTCAATGTACTTCCTCGCCAAACTATGCTACAGTTCGTCTAGGCACCTACCATAAATGCCACGGTGGAGCCTTTTGTTCTCATTCACGGAGTCCGCCAGCTGTGCACGGATGTCCTTTAATTCCACTTCCAGCCAAACATTAGCATCTTGGAGAGTATTCTTCTCCTGTTTAACTTGCGTAAGAATGCGCTCGCCGGCCTTTAGTTGCCTCTGGAAATGCGACTCGTCATCCCTCCTGCCCTCCGGATTTACTCTGGGGTTATCTACAGAATTTTCTGTTAAATTTGTCATACCAACCAGTTGCTAACTGGTGCATTTTCATATAATCAAGATAAATGTTACCATATGAGGCCTTCTGGGATTCCTCTAGCTTGTCAACTGTGGCCCTCAGTTGGGTCTTGCACTCCTCTAGCTCCCAAGACAATTGCTCATTCTTATCTACAAGAACCTGCACATAAATTGATACTTAAAACTGTTGTTTCAACCGTTTCAAGTCTCAGGGGCTACTGCTATACATGCTCATCAAACTTTCTTCCCCGTATATCTTTGGTATACTGGACTGTCTCCCGGGCAAGTCCGGTTTGAGCAGCTCGGATGTATGCGTCTCCCGAATTGAAAGCATTAAATGCCTCTTTGGAAAAGATGTTGTTGCGAAGCACAGCCCATCGACGCCGGTGATTCATGGCGCTCTCTACTTCGGAATTTATGGCAGAGAGCATATATGCGTCATCTGTCGGAGGACAATGCGGCATTGGCCCTACATCCGCCTCCTCTCTTGAAGTCGGTTCTGGAGCCCGACTGGTGGAGGCGTGGTTGGCAGGATCCCCGGATACAGTCCGGATACCCCTCTTCCTTCCAGGATGTAAAGGGCGTTGTTACACTCAAAATAACAATAATTACATGACAGGTTGTTTCCTTACCTCTGTAGAGGCGTGTCGGCCCTGACCGCTTTCCTCTTGAGCCTACCCAATCCGGACGCCTGTGGTTGACGGGTCCCTAGGGGCTCGGCTCTGTGCTCCGAACATCGCTTCTACAAAAACACGACGCTTCAGGGATAAGGCGTGACATCAGGAAAGAGTCCTCTTCGAAGGATCGAGTCTTTGGCTTGGCTTACACGCGACGAGGGTGGTAGTCCAGGATAATTAGCAGTAATAGCCACTGAGGCGCCGTCACGGCTTGCCCAGGAAAATATCCCGTTGACAAGCTCCACGGCCGCATCTGGGTCTTCTTCGAGTCCTGGATCCAGGGCCCTTTCGGGGTCCTCTGGCTGCGGGGAAGGGCTAGAGATTCCTTCTACGGCCCTCCTCAGTTCCTGCTCGGAAATATCGATGCAGGTAACTTTAGCAAAGAACGCCACAATAAGTGAAGCGAGAAAATAAATGACGACTTACCCAGTTTGGGGGATTATACATGGAGAATCCGTCTCGCGGTTTGATATGGAGGAAGTCTTCCTATTCTCCTCTATATAGGTCGGACAGTATCCTTGCCAGAGCTGTGGAGGAGTCCGGACCCTTAAGGCCACAACGGGTGGCATTGTCTGTCCTGTTGAAGTGCCACATGGGATTGCCCCGATATTGAAGTTGTTGCACTCCCTGCATTATGCATATTGCCATGACCACGACTATCGTAAGTCCGGATTTGGCCAGTAACTTTATCCTGCTCATCAGGAAATGTATTTCCCTGGAATCCTCTTCTTGGGGGCCTCGGGGGCGCCAGCTTAGACGTGCCCTCGGTGGGGTGTTACTGAACTTGGGGAGTCCTGTCTGGACTTGATCCGGAAGGGAAGCATCGTTAATATAAAACCACTCTGAAGTCGAGTTATCTGGTGCCTTCTTGGGAGTGCCGTATAGGTATCCGGTCTCAGCGATACGCCATACTTCGGCCCCGCCCACTTGACATAGGGATTCTCCCTGGTTGCGGAAGACAAGGCAGAACAACTTCTTCCAAAATCCGAAATGAGCCTCGCAGCCTAGAAATAGCTCACAAAGGGCGACATACCCTGCTATATGTAGTACGGAGGCCGGGGTAAAGTTATGCAACTGGAGGCCGTAGAACTCCAGAAGCCCACGAAGGAAGGGATGAATAGGAACCCCGACGCCCCTTAACAGATGCGGAATTAGGCATATTTACTCCTCTGGAGACGGATTGGGGGATCTCTCCACTTGTTCTCAGCTGTTATAGGTGGCCACTTCGGCTCGGACAGGGACCATGAACACCGGCGGGAGGAGCCCTTGTGTTTGTAACTTTATCAAACGGCTATGGGAAACTGAACACTCTCCCCAGTCCCCTGGCTTGGGGAAAGGGGAGCGAGCAGAACAGCTGCAACGACAGGCCATGTTGGAATGGTTTTTTCTGGGCGCTCTATTGGATGCTTGCTCGAGGAGGGAGAGTGAGGTTTGGATCTAGGAATCCCCATCTCTTCAAATAGACGGATAGCCCGAAGGACCGAGGGTGGCAAATGCAAAAATGCCTCGACTCCTCGCATTCGCTCGACACGTGGAAATGGTCATTATTGAAGCACTGAAGCCGAGGAGTACAACATTGATGAGATGTCAGACACTGTTCGTCATGATGGGTACATCAGAGTATTCGGAGAGGGAACCCGCCTTGCAATGCCGAAAACAAGACTGCGCACCGGACTCACCGTCATTGAAGCCTGGTTCAGGGGCTACCGAGGGAGTCCTGGATTCGGGGGTTCCGGAGAGCCAGACTATATACATCATTCGGACTATTGAAGCGTGAAGATACAAGACACAAGATTCCAGCCCGTGTCCGGATGGGACTCTCCTTTGTGTGGAAGACAAGCTTGGCGATCCGGATATTATATTTCCTTCCTTGTAACCGACTCCATGTAAACCCTAGCCCTCTCCGGTGTCTATATAAACCGGAGAGGATGGTCCTTAGAAGGCCGATCACAATTACAATCATACCATCATAGGCTAGCTCTTAGGTTTTAGCCTCTATGATCTCATGGTAGATCTACTCTTGTACTACTCATATCTTCAATATTAATCAAGCAGGAAGTAGGGTTTTACCTCCATCGAGAGGGCCCGAATCTAGGTAAACATTGTGTCCCTTGCTTCCTATTACCATCAGCCTAAGACGCACAGATCGGGACCCCCTACCCGAGATCCGCCGGTTTTGACACCGACAGGGCCCCTTAGAGGTTCTAACCATGGAGCACGAAGGTCCCAAAAATGCATAGTTTCCCCTCCAAAGATAACCTCCCCAGTTGGGGAACACATTATATATTTACCTAAACCTGTGGGTCCTTGAGCGGATCCCACATTAGCTCCAAGATGTTGGTCTCTAACTAGAAAAGTAAAAGCTTGAGCTTGAGAAGCTTCTGGCCTAGTGGGTCCATAAAACTCACTCAGATAAGCTGTATTATTGAACAATACAAAACAACAAGCGATAAAACCAAATACAGATAAAGCAGCTAAACTATAAGACAAGTAAGCTTCTCCAGACCATACAAATGCACGGCGAGCCCATGCGAAGGGTTCAGTTAAAATATGCCAAATTCCGCCAAATACACAAATAAAACCCAACCATACATGCCCACCAATTATATCTTCTAAATCATCTACACTAACAATCCACCCTTCTCCACCAAAAGGAGATTTTAGTAAATAACCAAATATAACACTGGGACTAAGGGTCAAATTGGTAATTTTTCTTACATCTCCCCCCCAGGGGCCCAAGTATCATATACACCACCAAAATAAAGAGCCTTGAGTACTAGAAGAAAAGCACCTAGACCTAACAAAATTAAGTGAATACCCAAAATTGTAGTCATTTTATCTCTATCTTTCCAGACATAACCAAAGAATGGAAAAGATTCCTCAAGAGTCTCGGGTCCCAGAAGCGCGTGATAAATGCCACCGAAGCCTAAGACTGTGGAGGAAATTAGGTGAATTACGCCAGATACAAAGTACGGAAAAGTATCTAGAACTTCCCCCCTGGCCCTACTCCCCAACCTAGAGTAGCTAAGTGTGGAAGTAAAATCAACCCTTGTTCATACATGGGATTTTCTGGTATGAAATGGGCCACGTCAAATAGGTTCATTGCTCCGTCCCAGAATACGATTAATCCGGCATGGGCTACATGAGCTCCAAGTAGTTTACCGGACAAATTGATAAGTCTGGCATTCCCAGCCCACCAAGCAAAGCTGGTGGTTTCTTGGTCACGACCAGCTAAAATGAAAGTTCCATTAAAGAGCGTTTCCACGTGGTAGAACCTCCTCAGAGAATATAAGATTTTCATGAGAAAGTCTCAAATTCAGGATCTTCCGCTGCACAGATTTCCTGGGAAACAAAGTCATAGGCACGTAAGTGCAGAGCCAAGCCGACTATGCCAATAGCACCCATCCATAAATCGGTGACGGGTACAAATAGCATAAAGAAATGTAGCCAACATTTATTGGAAAAAGCAACACCAAAGATTTGAGACCAAAAGCGGTTAGCAGTGACCATTGAATAAGTTTCTTCAGCTTGAGTTGGGTTAAAAGCACGGAAGGTATTTGCATCATCACTGTCCTCAAATAGAGTGTTTTCTATGGCCACTCCATAAATACCGCATAGCAGAGACGCACCTAATACTCTGGCAACTCCCATCATATGAAATGGGTTCAACGTCCAATTATGAAATCCTTGGAAGAAAAGCATGAATCAAAATATCGCTGCTACGCCAAAACTCGCGCAAAGAACCAACCAGATTGCCCAAGTGGATAAATAAGGAATACAGAAACAAAAACAACAATTGGACCAGAGAATGAAATTGCATTATAAGGCCGCAATTGAATAGACCGAGCAAGTTCAAATTGGCGTAACATGAAACCTATTAGTGCAAAAGCCCTATGGAGAGCTAAAAAAGTCCATAGACCGCCTAATTGACACCAACGAGTAAAATATCCTTGTGCTTCGGGCCCCCGTAGTAGCAACAAAGAGTGTGCTAAACTATTGGTAGGGGTAGAAACTGATGCGGTTAAGAAATTACAACCTTCCAAATAGGAACTAGCCAATCCATGGGTATACCAAGAAGTTACAAAAGTTGTCCCTGTAAACCAACCCCCTAAAGCGAAATAAGCACAAGGAAAGAGCAATAGGCCAGACCATCCTACAAAAAAAACGGTCCCTTCATAACCAGTCATCCATAGTATCAAATAGATCATTTTCCTCTTTAGGAATTCTACCTAGGGCTATAGTCATTTTGATCCTCCTATTCAACTACTTCAACCATTTCCGAGCACCTCATATCACTTTCCAAGGCATAAGATAGTTTTATCATCCGTGGACGATTTCTTTCTCGTTCAATGCCGCTTTTCAATGGTCTCGAAGAGAGAAATTTCCCATTTTTATCTATGGAGTCACAACCGAGGTCGTGGTAAATCCATGAATTTGATTCGATTTGTTTTTCTTATACTATAGAAATAGAAATAAATTGTTTTTCTTATACTATAGAAAGAAATAAACCTTTGAATTCAGCATTATTCCAAGACTCCTATTTCAAAGTCTATCTTTTAAGGGAAAAATGAAAATAAAAGTAACCCTTCTTTTCCCATTCCCTCTCTATTGCATGGGTGGAAGAACTAAAATAGAGGATTCTGAAAAAAGGACCTTCGAAATCCAATTTTATGTGTAGCGCAAAGGAGTTGTGATTTCTTCTTATTCCTATAGAACATCTAGTAACAAGAATATGAAATCATAAATAGCGAAAAATTCTTGTCTTGCGCAGTCTAAGTCTAAGGAAATAAAGAAAATTCGCTTATACAATTTCATCTACATCGAATTTATATATCAGAATAGTGGATAGAGGCATCAATTAAAGGGGTCAGGTCTACTTACTTTATGCTTCTTTCCAATTTTATGGTGGATTTGATAAGAACCCTTTTTGCTTTCTTGATAAATAATCGACAAAAAAGTGTTTTTTATATAACCTGCTTGCCTTATTATAATTATAACAAGTCCTATATGGAAATGCCCGCTAAAGAGAAAATTTATTTGATTGTCTCTCTGCCAATATCGATTTTTAGAAAGAAAAAACAAGATTTTTCTTCTTTTTTATTAACATTAGGAAAAAAGAATATAACTAAAATGGAATTGGCAATATAATTTTTATTGACTTTTGAAAGAAAAAAGGGTTCTTTTGCAATCGTTATTTCTTATTTCTATCCTATATCATATCACGGAAACCTTTCGCTTTCGAACGTGGAGAGATGGCTGAGTGGACTAAAGCAGTAGATTGTTAATCTGTTGTACAATTTTTTTGTACCGAGGGTTTGAATCCCTCTCTTTCCGGTCCCTTGGATCATTTGGGACTTTCGAATTGGAAAGAATTCTGACCCCCGGATTTTCTCATAGATGAATGTACGAAACAAATCCAATAAGAAAAAATGGAATTTTTACTCCTCGTGTCCAGGATTCCGTCCTGGGTCATTAGATAAGAATCCAAAGATAAGGAGTGAAACAAAGAATATCACTACTGTATAAACAAAAAGTTTGAGAGTAAGCATTACATAATCTCCAAGATTTTTTTAAGGAATAGATTACCAGTTTTTCCTTACCACACGGATCCACTCGGATGTTTTTTTATACCTAAAAATGCAAAAAAGAATTCTTGAAAAAATTTGCAATAATTCATTTATAATAAGCACTCTTATCAATAGCAAAAATAGGGTTAGGTGGTTTGGTATTGTGTAGGTACCTTCTCAACGTAGGTGCAGGGGAGTATAAAGGCTGATCCAAATTTATTGCTGTAGCTACCCATTCAGTGTAGAAGAATTTAAATTTGAGAATCGAAGGTTCATAATATAAAAATATATAACTTGTCGACTTTTACCCATTTTAATTTTTTTTGTAATAAACACATCATTCAATTTGACATACAGAGTACTAAAGATTTCATCGGAAACCTACAGCAGCTTGCCAAACAAAGGCTAATAGAAAAAGGAATAGAGGTATAACAGGCATAATATCCACGATTGGATTGAAAATAGCATAAGCTTCGGGTAATTTGGCAAAGAAAAAACTAGTAAGATAACGAACATAATTAAAACAGATATAGGTTAAACTAAGTATATTAGGCATAACAAGCATTTCATTCTTGTAGAGTAAATAATTGGATTTTTCTTGAGTTATTTTTTTAAGGGAAAGAAGGAAAAGGCAGATTCAAAATCTTTTTTTGGACTTTCCCAAACACAAAATACCTCCTTTTATTCTCACTCTCAAATGAGAGTGGAATAAATTCGACATTCATATAATATTTTAATAGAATTCCATGTAATGATCAATGCATTTTTTTGATTCTATATTATCTATTTGTGTACAATACTAGCAAGACAATATCCCTCCTTTTTTATGTAATTGAAATGGTATTGACGAATAACAAATAAACATACTAGTGTTTATTAGTGTCGCATAAAACCCGAAATGGGGCGTGGCCAAGTGGTAAGGCAGCGGGTTTTGGTCCGGTTACTCGGAGGTTCGAATCCTTCCGTCCCACATTGTTTTTGATGAAACAAACAGTGAAATCATATAGTATTCCGTATGAGACAAAAGTTTATTAAAGAGAATAATGATATCTTATTCTTTCTCAGTAAACATAATAAAGTCTTAAGTCCAGTCAAATTGAGTATCTTTATTTTCATGAAAAAATGGGATCTATCAAGCACATTCAGGATATGCATCTACTATAAAATCACTTAGTCATATTTTTTTGTTCCTTTTGGTATTCGAGTTGAAGAAGTACGAGAATTCTATAACTACCAAAAACATTAAATATTTTCATTGGAATAGTTTATTTAGTTATTATAGTTAATTGTTTTTGGTACTGAAAAAATATATTACTACTAGAATAGAATTCTAGTAATTAAATTAATTAAACTTTTTTGGAGGTTGATAGTTTATTTATTGAGGAAGAGTCAATCCTTCTATTCTCACTTCAAGATTGATCATCTCGAGCCATGCATTGAGGGTGGAAATTTAAGAATAAATAAGTTTTAAGAAAACTTGTTTAGTCGTCTTTTTCAAAATATGTTTCATTCATATGATAGAATTTTAATATGGGTTTAAATAAATTGGATCTTGGCGGAGGCTTCCTGGATAAATACTTACTTTCTTTTATCCATATTGCTCCATAGATATAAAGTTTTAATTAGTATAAAAAAACTAAACCAATGACTATTCATGATTCCATCCATATTGGATCAATTCTCTATACTACTTTGCAATGAAAAGAGGAATGTTTGTTATGGTAAAACTTTGTTTAAAACGATGTGGTAGAAAGCAACGTGCGACTTGAAGGACATGATCGATTGTGGATTTTGCTATCCATCATTTTCCATAGTAATGAAAATGCTCTTGGCTCGACATAGCCTGTTCTATTCATTCCGAACCAAATTTGCGCTGGGTTTAAGTAACATAGTACATGATGGAGCTCGAGAGGACAAAAAAAATTTATCAAAGGAAAGAATCTAGGGTTAGTGAAAACTAATAAATTAGGCCAACTTTGTCAGTCTATCCTTAATATAGAAATAAATCAAAAGGTTAAAATAAGAAGAAAGTCCAATAAAAGTATATCTGAATCAATCCCTCTTATTAGATTTCTATAGAAGAGATAAATGCTTTATCGAAGGAAATAAGAAAAAAAGGGTATGTTGCTACTCTTTTGAAAGAAAAAAAGTGGAATTCCCGAAGTAATGTCTAAACCCAAGGATTTCACAAATCAAAGTTAAAGGATTCCTGAACAAGTAAACACAATTTTCAATTGTCTCAACAACAGAGTTCAGAATAAGGAATAAAAGTCAATTCGTTCCAAATGAGATAAAGAAAAGAGTTTAAAGATGACTCAAAATTTTTGGAAGGATTTTGCCTTCGAAGTTTATCAGGCAAAATTAGCCCACTTGAGTCATGAGTATAAATGAAATTTGTTTTTTCTGTAAGGAAATTAATGCACATCATGGTATAATTTCTATTATTATCGACAGAAATTCGATTCATTTTCTCGAGCCGTATGAGGACAAAACCTCATATACGTTTCTAGGGGGGCGTTGTTTATCTACATATATCCCAATAAAGCTGTCTATCAAATCATTGCAATTGATGTTCGATCTCGAAGAGATGGAAAAGATCTTCAAAAAGTAGGTTTTTATGATCCGATAAAGAATCAAACTTGTTTAAATGTTCTAGCTATTCTCTATTTCCTTGAAAAGGGTGCTCAACCAACAAGAACTGTTTATGATATTTTAAGGAAGGCGGAATTCTTTA